ACACACACACACATACACACACACACTAAATTTTTTACCATTAAAAAGAATCAATATTTTATTTTGATAGCTATAAAGAAATTATAAATATATAGAGAGATATAAAAGGAAGAAGGCTATTCTTGAGTAGACTTACTAAATATTGTCACTGTGTCTATACAATGTCACAATTTCTGCTCTGACTTTTAATATTTAGCTTCTTCTGTTTGTTTTGGGTTTAAATTTCCTTTATTTCTCTTATCTCTTTTTTTTATTGTTTTTTTATGTTAGTCCTTACCCATTTTTATTTAAAAATTTTTCTGATACATGACAACATAAAAATGGAACATTTTTGTGGTGTACCATCAGATGTCTTGATACATGTATGAATTGTTAATGTGGAATTTTAAATCATTGAATTTAAATGTTTCCTCTCTCCCAACGTCTTTTCAGTAGGTATTTCTGAATGAGGGTCTTATGGTTTGGATCTGGAATGTCCCCAAAAGCTGTGTTACAAGCCTGGTCCCCAATGCAGCAAGGTTTAGAGGTGGGCTCTGGCCAATGATCGGCTCAGGAGACTCTGACCTTATCAGTGGATCAATCCACTTGGTAGATTGGTGCATTGACAGCTGAATAGACTCCTGGGTGGTGGGACCTAGTTGAAGGGAGTCGGTAACAGGGGCAAGTCCTGGAAGAATTTATCTTCTACTCGGTCCCTTCTCTTCTCTCTCCTTCCTGGCTGCCCGGAGCTGAGCAGCTTAAATAAAGTCTGTTTTTCTGGGGCTGGGGCTGTAGCTCAGGGGTAAGCGCCTGCCTCGCATGTGTGAGGCACTGGGTTCGATCCTCAGCACCACATAAAAATAAATAAAGATATGGTGTGTCCATCTACAACTAAAATAATTTTTAATCTATTTTCCTATTTTCACTCCTCATTCCAGATTCCTTCCCCTCATCATCAGTAGTAGAGTCTTAAGAACTTAGCAGTTAAAAAAAATGTCTTCCTTATTTCAAGAGGATTCATAATGGGCTAACTCCCAGAAGAAAACACACTACTTTCCTGGACATTGTCAACTCTTGGTCTGCTGCCAGGGGTCGTCACACACTCTTCTGCTATGACTTGGTATGTATCAGGTGCCGCATGTGGACAGAGGAGAAGCCCTGGACCCAGCTTTGGTTTCAGTGCTTCCTTGTGAGGGTTCTTTGCTTAGACCCTGCAGTTCTGTGTGACCTTATCTCATCTCTCATCTCAGAGGGCTTCAGTTGAGGCATTGCCGTGTCACGCAGGTTCCATGATGTAAATCAATGGTCTGGTGATCTGGGTGGCATGACATGCTTGCCCTCTCTGGTTCATCACCCATGATAAGCCAGTAAAGATAACCACTTGGAGTCCCAGCTGCTCAAACAGTGCTCGGCTTCCTCAGGACACAGAGCCTCCTCCACCACAGCTATGCGCTTCCTGATGCCCACCTTCCTTGTGTGTGGATTGCTCATTCAGGTGACCACAGGTAATGGGACCTATAAAGTAGCAATCGTGGGGTTAGGAGAGTTGCTGCACCGAGGCTCTCCTAGTGTCTTGAGGGGGAAAGAGAGTCCCACAGAAAAAGCCTTGGAGCGATCTAGAAGAAGAGAAGTGGCCTTGTGTCAGCTGCCCCGTGCCCCTGCTCCCTGAGAACTGGTGGAAGCCTACAGAGCGCTCTCCAAACGCCAAGAATGCCCTGAGCTGTCCTCGCTGTCTGTACGACCATCTGGTGTTAGCTGCCCCCCACTTCACTTCTGTTTCTTTCCTGTGTCCCCTTTGTCCAATGCGTCCTACCATCTTGAATTCGTCTTGGTCCTAAAAATACCTCAGAGGCAGGCCCTCATTTTCATGTTAGATATGGTAGACAAGTCCACGGACACTCTAGATTCTGCCCGTGGAAGAGACAACATTTAAGTTTGGGGGGAGAAGAAGGAATGAGAGGAGTGAAGACAGGGTGGAGGGCCAAGTGGCCAATGAGGAGCTTCCAATTTTAGGTCAAGGTGAAGAGCTTATTCCCTCTTGTTAACAACGCTACTTTTGAAAATGACCTATTTTATTGAAAAATCATACTTGCAATTGACTCTTGCATCAGGCAATTGATAGGATTATGTAAAATTAAGGAAATGAAAGTACTCTTCTACTCAAGAATACTAACTCCTGGGTGCTGGGGTTGTGGCTCAGAGGTAGAGCGCTCGCCTAGCATGTGCAAGGCCCTGGGTTCAATCCTCAACACCAAATAAAAATAAATAGATACAATAAAGGTATTGTGTTCAACTACAACTAAAAAATAAACATCAAAGGAAGAATACTTTATTATGTGTTTTTAGGTGATAGAGCATGGAGTGGTCTCTTTTTTTTTCCAGAATCAATCAATGTGAATAATTTCTTGGAGGTCCTAGCAGATATGCATGGTCGGGTGGTGGTGTATGTGCATCTGTCTGAACATGTTTATACCCTTCAGAGTTTTAAAAAATGCAGTTGTAAATGAACCACGTGGGTTGTTCTGAAATGTACAAGCAACATGTCTTAGTGATTTCTTAATAATAAGCCTAGCTTGTTATTTTTAATTATCAGATGAAATCTTGAGGAGAGGAGTGGATCTCTTTATTTAATTGCTTCACTACTATTGTAAAGCAGATTTTTTTAATTTTCACAAACAATTCTGCCAGAAAATTCGTAAACAAATATGTCTTTTGACCCAGAAATGGACCATACGTGCACGCATGCTCACACACACACACACACACACACACACACACACACACACTCACACACACTGCCAAACTGTCCAATGAAAAGCTACAGACTGACTCCTGTCAGCTGCTGTGAGAGGGTCAGCTTCCAGAAACTTACCAGGTTATCAGGGTTTTTTCTATTATATGCTTCCAAGTTTTATAGTCTGATAGGTGAAAATGGTGTCATCTTCTTGGCCCCTTAATTGGGAATGACTTTGAACATCTATCCCACAAGATTTCTGAACTCCTTCTCATTGATTTTTAAATCTTAACGGTGTTATAATTTGCTTAGAAAGATGTTTTCCACTTCCATGAAGTGATTATAAATGAGCCATCTTGTGTGCACGTTGATGTAGTGAGTGAACTAAACAATTCATATCGACAATTCATTTCTGATTATGAACTATTTGCTGAAACTTTGGAAGGAAGGAAGAATAAAGTTTTGGGCCATGGCCCTCCTTTAGTTTCTCTGTTTATCATTTGAATAAAAATGTATAGCTTATTTATAAATTTCCCGTTGCATCGGAGGTATTTTCCCATTTACCAAATATTTTTCAAAAAATTGTATTTTAATGATTATATAAAATTTCATAAAATGGATGCTGTGTAAGTTATATATCCCAACTATTTCTGCATAAATAAGTTTAAAATACTAGGGTAGATAATAAAAACTTTCTTGTCCATAAAGCAATCAACATAAAATTCCTAGAAAGACATTCTTCCTGTCTGCTTTAATGTACTATCAAATTCAAAATATTTGCAAATCCCATGAGTGAAAGATTATATTGGATTATTTAATTTTCATTTATATCTTTGGGAAATAGAGAAGTCAAACTTCCAATACAACTCACTATATATTTCAACTTTTCTACAAATAGTCTGTTTCTCCCTATTTTGCCATTTTATTTTGGAGGATCTGTTTGAATTCCTCTTGATTTATGTAGTTTCATTTTTATTTTTCTTTCTAGGTCTTGCTTTGAAATTTAATGATTTAGTCTCTCTGAGCTGCATGATATGTTTTTAGGTGATAAAGCATTGAGTGGTTTCTGAAGCAAATTTTTTACCAAGCTAACCTGTCAATCATTGGATATCTATCAATAAATGTATTTCAGTTGACGCTGGCTGATTCTATACCTGATTATGCTTTGGCCAGATGATTTCTCTGTCTGAAAATAGACCATCACCATTCATATTTTCTAAATATTTGGGTTTTGAGATATGGGTGATAAAGATCCCCTGTCCTAATAACATAGGACAGGTTCCAGGTTGTTGCAGAGTTTTGAAAAACTGACAACTGTCAATCTAGGGGGAAAAATCCAGTAAGTTAGGGATTACTCCTAATTACTATCTTTTTGTGGATGGAGCCAAACTCTTGAATTATCTTTGATATTTCTATTGCTACACCACCCGTTTCTACCAAGCAGCCTAATCTACAAAGGACATCCCAAGTCCAGCGGCTCCTCCCCCTGCACAGGTATCACACTGACTCGGGTCGCCAGCATCTCTTACCTGTGTGACTGCTGCAGCTTCCTCGTGGGTCTCTGTCCCACCCTTACTCACCACATCTGTTGTCAAGGTAGCATCGTATGGGACCTGCTTACGTGAACGTCAGATCATGTACTTTTTCTGCCCCTAATTCTGAGATGGCCCCTTCTTCATGCACAGCAGTGTCCAGAGCCTGGGACCTCTCACACCTCATCTTCCACTACTGTCGTCCTAGTTTAGTCCTCAAACCTGCTCCACCCATGGAGGTCTGCATCCTTTGCTTGGAATGCACTTGCTCCACATCCCTGTGTGACTCCTCCCCTCACCTTCTTCAAGTTGCTGAACTGTCACCTTGCCACAGACACCAGTGCTACCTCCTGTTGAATAAGCTGCATCAAGCTGGGCGCGGTGGCTCACACCTATAATCCCAGCAACTCAGGAGGCTGAGGCAGGAGGATCGCGAGTTCAAAGCCAGCCTCAGCAGCAGCAAGGCGTTAAGCAACTACTCAATGAGACCTTGTCTCTAAACAAAACACAAAATAGGGCTGGGGACATGGCTCAGTGGTTAAGGGCCCCTGGTTCAACCTCCAGTACCAAAAAGAAAGACAACAACAACAACTTTGTTGAGCGTGTGGCTGAATCCTGGACTGCAAATCTGGAGGGAATCATTAAAAAGAGGTAGACAGCAACGAAGGCCAGAAGAATCGACAGAGTGTGAGAAGGGCACAGAAGAGATCAGGTGACTGAGATTGCAAGCACAGAGTTGTCCCCACTGAGTTCTGGTGGCCACCACCAGAGGAATCAAATAAAGGCACAACTTGGGGGGAAATAAGGCTTTTCATTCTTGTGCTTAAGCACAAGGGAGACAGCACTGGGGCCCAGAAATCCCAGGCTGACTCAAACAAAGGACAAATGGCATCGTGGAGTATGTCCTCTCTTGTAGAGCTGGAGTTCAGCTGGCCTGTGTCCTGTGTCAAGCTTCTTCACGGGATGCTAGCCTCACTGCCATTTCAAGTTCCCACTCTGGGTGTGACTTTGCTACTCTGCTGATGAAGATAACCACAGGCTACTTTAGCGACTGTTCTATGCATGAGTTTGTCCTTCGCCACCTGGAATTTGCCCCTTATCAACTGGGAAAGTCCCTAATGTTGTTTTCCGAACAGGGCAAACTATCGTTCTGTATCGGTGGGTTTGATTTTTGAGACCGTGTCCTGTCTGGCTGTGGCTTCTGGGCACTTCGGTAGACCACACAGATGGCCTCTTCAACCTCCCATCTCCTGGTGTGTTACTTCATTTGAGATCTTTAAAGACTGGTCTACTTCGGACTCCTAATTTCCGGGTGCATCTCTTCACCCTGTATAAGACTAGGGCTGACTTGGTTTTTTTTTTTTTTTTTTTTTTTTTTTTTTTTTTTTCTTTTGAAGGGGTCTTGCTTCTCCTGGGAAGTAGGTCCCTGACTGTCCCAAATATTCGGGAAGAAGGCAAAAGATAACATTTTCATAGCAGCAAGAAATGAAGAAGCAAGGTTAATGCTTGTCTCGGAAGAAAGAGATGGAAGGTCTAGACTGGAAACTTCCAGAAAATTCCATGAAGTGCAAGATAAAAGGGAGCTGGTAAAAATAGCAAAGATTAAAATAGATAATTGAGGAAGTTGGATGACGATTTATTTCTCAGGGGAGGAAATATGAATCAAATCATTGCGAGCTTAGTACGGGCCACCTGGGTAATGATCGTATTACCTGCCCGCAAGGCTGTTTTGAAAATCACTTGCTGTCCCCACCCCACCTTGAACCCTTGCTTAGCTCTTTCTTCTGCTAGAACCTTTGAGTCCAGGTACCCTGGGCAGTTGGCTGGAGCAGGATGACTGTGTCCTGTGCTTGATGAACGATGGAACCGCAGAGCCCGTGAGGTCCCCTTTAGAGTCACATCTCACTCTCCGGATGAACACTCAGGCTGCTCAGGAATCCCATTGCATTTCTCTGAGGGGCATGACTCCCCTCTTTCCTACACTTTCCTATTTTGTTCTGACATTTGTCTTCAATCCTCCAGCTCCTCCCCTCCCCTCCCCTCCCCTCTCCTCCCCCTCCTCCTCTCTGTGGTGCTCCCTTTTAGTGCGACTTGCCCCTACCCTGTGCGAATTTTAAAAATTGAAAGAGGAACATGTTCCTGGTACCACTGTCAACATTCATTATTTTAAAAAAAAATCAATAAACAAACAAACAAAGATCTAATGTTCTCTCTGACATGTGAGGGCTGACACACCCCAGAGGAGGGGAGAATAGGAGTTCAGTAGATTAGACAAAAGGGAATGAAGGGAAGGGAGGGGAACAGGAATAGGAAAGACAGGGGAGTTATTCTGATTTAACTTTTCTATGTGCATATATAAATATGCCACAGTGAATCTGTATATCATGTACAACCACAAGATCCTAATTAGAATAAGATGCACTCCGTGTTTGTATAAATATGTCAAATTATACTCTACTGTCTTCTAGAACTAAAAAGAACAAAAAACAATAAGAAGTCCAGCCTTCGTTCTTCTCAAATTATTCCAATGGCTTTACCCATTTCTATAGTTTAAATGCTGACCTTAAGCGATGATTCCAGAATTTATATCTGTTGTCGAAACCTCTATTCTGATTTCCCACTGGTATATTCAATTGCCTTTTCGATATCCTAGGAATATCTTATGTGATATGTCCCCAAGCAAATAATCTGTCCTATTCTATCTACAATAACTTCCACAGTCCTAGTCAGAACCACCAACACGTCACACCTGGAAGAAGCCTTCCCAGTACCTCTTCCTGATTCCACTCTTTCTTGTCCCTCATCTAAATTCCACGTGGAATCCTGAAGACACAATGGAATATTACTCAGCCATAAAAAAAGAAAGAGCTCATGTTATGTTCTGGAAAAACATTAATACATATCTAAAGGAACTGGGGAATCTGGTCCCGCTATGACACGTTCTTTTCATTTGGGGATCCTCTGCTCTTTGCCCATAATACTTCCAGTTTATGAACCCTTCGGGTACCACGAGTACACTTAGCAGCTCCTCCAACACTGAGACAGCATTGCCGCTCCTTTCCTAAGACAGTCTGTGCCTCCCCTGTGTTCTGCGGGCTCATTCTCCTCCTTCTTGTCTCGGTTAAAATATTAGCTGTAAATGCAAATATTTTAAATGTCTGTCTCCTCTCTTTTTCTCTTTTTCTCTTCCTCTCCCTTCCCAATTTCTTCAAAGGCACATAGCACAAGTTTTAATACACACTTTCGTGTTTTCTTGTTGCTTCTCTCAATGGCTTTTAGTGCCTGTCATCTATTAGTCTAGATGGCAAGGGAGTGAGTAGTTGTAAATTCTTGAATGAATGAGTGAAAAATGGTTAAGCTGATGCTAGCATTAAAATTTTGACCTGCATTTTTTATTTTATGCCCTGCAGGCGGCTTGTCTCAACCAAGATGCTGGAAGAATAATATTGGATTCTGCAGATCACGATGTTTAGATGACGAGAGGTACATAATTCTTTGTAAGAACAAGCTCTCGTGCTGCATTCCCATAGTGTTCCCCTCAGAATTCACTCGAAAGCCGCAGCCTCCCTTGATCCAAATAGAGGACATCACATCTGATTTAGGGGATTGGGACACTTCTCCCAAATCTCCAGTAACAAAAATTAATGATCAGTTCACATTTCATGACAATCTGTCTCTAGTTTTTGAACAATCTACAGTTGATGCTTCTGGTACCGTCCAGCCCATGACCACACCCATGCAGCTACCTTTCGCTGCAGCTGACTGATGTTGCCACCTGGGAATGGGACAACTGGAGGTCCTGCTGGAACCAACACCCGGGAGCTCGTCCTACTCCTCTACTCCTCGTTCTACAATTCCATTGGAGATAGGATGGACACAACTGCTACTCTCATGGCATAAGCCAGTTACTTTAGGATTAGAAATGTGCGTAAGATACAAGAATTCTCTTCACTGACTTCAATTCTTTGTCTTCTTCTGATGTATGGAAATGCATGGGCTAATCTGGGTCTCAAGGGAATGTGTGAGGGTCTTGATTTTTATTCATTGTTATTTTAATTGGACCTATTTATGGATTCAGTGTAATGATTCAAATTACGGGTACAGTGTGTAATGATCAAATCATTAAATGCTATACATTCTTAAAAATGTCTTGATGGGCCTGTGATAATCGTGCATATTGATGACAGTGTGATACCTCAATACACGCATAGGACACACGCTGATCTAATCAGGGTGATGAACCTGTCCATCTTCTTATCATTCCCTTGTGTTTGGAACCTTTGAGCTACTCAACAGGTCACTGTGAGTCTCGGTCACCCCACTGTGCTGTAGAACACTAAGACCCATCACTTCCACCTGACTGGGTCTTGGTTCCTGTTATCCAACGACTCCAGCCCACTGCCCACCCCCACCCCCACACCCCCGCACCCTCTCCACTGCTCTGAATTCAGGTTGATTTTCCAGCATCTACACGTGAGTGAGAACATGCAGCCTTTGGCCTTTTGTGACCCACTTCACTTAACAGAATGTCATCTGATTCCATCCACTAAAAGGGGCAGGATTTCACTGTTTTATGGCAAAATAGTAATTCATTATATAGATAGATCACGTTTTCTTTATCTGTTCATGAGTATCCAGGTTGTCTCCATAGCTTAGTTATTGTGAATAATATACCATAAATACGGGCATAGCTCTCTGCTGTTCTTCATAATGGCTACACTAATGTGCATTTCACTAACATTGTTCAGTGCCCTTTTCTCCATATCCTTACCTTCATTTGTTATTTTGCTTTTGGTTTTGTATTTTATAATGGACATCCTAACGACAGGGTGGGGGTGGGGGTAGGGGACAAAATAGCTCATCAGTTTTGATTTGCATTTCCCTAACGACTAAAGTCATGGCACATTTTTTCATCTGTTTGTTGGCCATTTGTATTTTTGAGAACTTCAGATCATTTGCCCATTTTTAAAACTGGATTGCTTGCTTTTTGTTGTTGTTTCTTTAATACACATATTTAGTGTATTCTGGACACTAATCCTTCCTTAGAT